TATATATAGTCAGCTGATAAGTGGTGTCTGGCAGAAATACATCTGATGAAATGTAGCTCTGAGACAGATTATTGGGCTTCATGTAACGCAAGCAAATCAAGTGAAATCAGATCTATTTCATTAGCCAAACTGATCACGCCTTTAATTGTTGTCATTGTTTGCTGTCAAGGAAAATCTGCAGCCCAAAAACAGGTACTGGGACATTCCTGCTTACTGTTGCCTCCACAGGTTCTGCCACGTGTAATTATACCTTTACTAACATAAACCTAAATATCATGAGAAGCTTGGTCAGGTTGGTATTAACACGGGGCTAAAGACAGTCAAACAGACAGACAGGCAGACAGACAGGCACTGCTGTAATTTAACACAGATTTGATTTGCTACTGAACACACACTGATACAAAGTTACACATAAATATATGTTTTGAAGCCTGTTTCCTTAGCCTCCAAGCCATTGTTAATGTTTTTAATGTATTTTTTTATGTAATATTTTTTTATGTAATAAAAAAATCGGGTATACGGTAATACCCATCTGATATTGGATGATAAAAATGTAACATTTGATCAGCTGAAGAAAGTTACAACATTAGTTGAATTGAACTAATGTCCTTGATTTATTCTGCCAGAGATTACTGTTTTTGGTGCATTATTTCACCTTAATTTTCTGTATAAAGTGAAATTTTGATATTCACATATTAGATTAGCAAAAAAATCAAATAAGATTTATTTTATTTTAAAAACAGAAAATGAATTGCTCTTTATTTTAGAGTCGGCTGGAAAGACCTTCTTGGTGCCTGTATTTACTGATTTGCTACAGTTACAAATGTTACTGAAAAGATCCTCTCGGACATTTCCATTCTGTTCTGACAATAAAGAGGATCGCCTGAATGTAAACACAGTTTTTCTATGGTGTCTGACGACACAGACAACAGATCCAGACAGTTCTTACCTTCTTATTTGAAGCAGTGCAAACTCATATCTGTTGTGGCAGTGACGCTACAACAACCTTCAATCCACTGTTTCACCATATTAAGGATTTTACAATAAGATGGCTGCTCGCTTGTTGGTTTCATGTTTTCTGCTCATAATAAGAAGAGTTCAAATCAATTCAGTTTATTKATAAAGCGCCAAGCCACAGCAAACATCATCTCAGGGCACTGTACAAAAAAACAATCAATCTAAGGAAGCCAGCAAATTGTGTTGAATCACGTCATCACTGTCTCTCATCCTTAGTAACACATTGGCGACAGTGGAGAGGAAAATCTTCCTTTTAACAGGAAGAAACCTCCAGCAGAACCAGGCTTATGACAGACAGCCATCTGCCTTAACCGGCTGGGTTTAGGAGGACAGGAAAGAGACAAAGACAAACACAGAAGGACAGGGAGTTCCCCTTTGTCATCACTTCTGGTTGTACCTTCTGCACCAAGTTCAGAACAAAATATTACCAGTTATGTGACAGAATAAGTACAATCATCTGTCATATGCCAACATTTATTTTTAAGATATTTTCTTTCAATGTTTCTATTTGTAGGGAATGTATGTCCAGGCTCACCTGATATGTTTTAACCATTAATTCTGTAGTAAAGGACACAATCAATTAACAATATCATTATGTCATTATGTAGCAATGTGTCTGTTAAATTTATGATTGGTGGTTCATAATTTTTTGTTTGATTAATTCTAATATTCTTAACAGTATGTCATTATACTGTATGAATGTAAATTTTATTGAAAATATTCACCAACTAGTTCTAGCCAAATCTAGTTATTTTGTAAAAATAAAAAGTTGTTATGTTCTTCGATTGACACAGTTAGTGTATTTCTCCTGTTTTGTTGCTGTTATTACTTCTTGTCTCTAGAGGGCGCTGCTGTGGCAGTGTAGGAGAGAGTAAACTGTGTTGAAAAAAATAACAGTAAGACACAATAGATATGAGACAACACGTGTTCTCTTGTGGTGTCTGGCATAATGGCACAGTTACTGTAATAAAGTTAATGTTTAACCGTCGTATCCTGTTTCATTATAACCAACACGAAACAGGAGACAAGAAGCAGCATTTTCTTTACCACGTGCAACAACTTTCTTGAATAACGTTGGTGGACATCCAATTTTATTTACAAAATAGCAGAAACGAATGGCTGGAGTCAATGTGCTGTGCCATTTTATTACATCGCAGGGGTCCAGAAGGACAGAGTCAGTTTTACACACTACCAGAACTACATTTGATGAAACCATGGTTGCATTTTAAAGACAATGTATTGGGCTGCAGTCACACTTTTAGACACCATGTGCAATTTGTCGATGAAACTGTGAGCCAGTGTGCTGCCGAGCTCTAAGCTTTAGCTGCACCATGTGGTTTTGGACTAATGGAAAGTCAACTTATGAGCTGGAAAAAGCTTTAACCATTGCATGTTAAGTTGAAGCAGCAGTTAAAAAAGCTTCACTGCTCTCAGCTGTGATTCCAGTCCTGTCTGTACCMGAACAGAATATACAGTAGATGCTTATTTTCATGTAGACTTCCACCCCTTGTTCATCACAAACATGCAAGTCATACACAGTAACGTCGCTGCTTCAAATATGGATCAGATGAACATCTAGCAAACAATAAAAATCGTCCTGTTGCTAAAATAAAAAGTGTTGGCGCGAGAAAAAGAGACATGTTGACAAGTCACCTGTGGCTGTATAAAGAAGTGATTGTTCCTGAGTGAGCAGCACTGTGTGTTAATGATGTTACACAGCTTCTTGATAAAATCACATGTAAAATGAACACGGACGCACCACAAGGACACTCCCAGATTCTGGAATTAATCATATACACTGGACCTTCTGTACAGATTTTACCAGTGACAGTCTACAAGAAACATTTTCACAAAGCCTAATGACAGAGCACAAAGTTAAAATAGAAAAATGTTTAAAAAAAAACAAACAAACAAGTACACATGAAATGCATTTTTTGCTCGAAGCCTGTTCTCAAAGAATTGCCGTATTCCGGTCGATTCCACTGTTCCTTTTCTGCTCCTTCTGAACTTTCTCCCATTGACAGGGATTTCTCTGGTAGAATTTCAACCAGGCCAATCAGTGAACAGGAGGAGGAGCTGTGAACAATGACATCAATTTTCTGTGCTGTTTTAGTTTGCCTGTAGTTTAACAATGGCAACAGAGGAAAGTGAACAGCCATCTCGTTTGGGTCAATACTTCTCTCTTCATAGTAGGGGACAGTTGTTTACAGCACACACAATTTCCAATTAGCTTCTTAGCATAGCTTCCTTTACGGTCGAGTTTGTGTACTACATCACGGCCAGACAATAGCAATTGGGTAAATCAGATCCGATCATTTTAAACTTCAACAGAATTTACGACTCCAACAAACAATTGTTTCTCAATGGCGAAGAGATCAGATCCTCTGAAAACAAAGTTCAGGAACTATTATAATTAAATATGGTAGAAAAAAACATCAAAAAGCAGATTTGTTTTCTCTTATATTTAAAAGAGGCATAAAGGTAGCTAGGCCTGTTATAGGTAACCCTCTTTTTTAGGAAATATACCGGCAGATTGTTGTGAGGTTGGTGAAAAAAATGCTTAAATGTAATTTCATTGGTCTCTGTACAATGACAATCAATCAATCAATCAATCAATCAATCAATCAATCAATCAATCAATCAATCAATCAATCAATCAATCAAAACTCAGTGTCACATGTCAAAAGTCAGCTAAGAGTAACTGGCACAGCTGAGTGTCAACAAAAACTAGCTTTAAAAGAATCCTGGTTCCAAACAACTTAATAAACATACAGTATAAAACAAACCTAGGCAACCATAAAGGACTTTAGTACTGTGGTATTCCTTGGAGGTTTTCACATTGTCTGACAACTTGGACACCAAAGTTTTCTATTAGAGCTTAGACCCCTTCATGGTCCATCCAAACCTGCAAAATCAGTTATAGACAATTTTAACGATGGCTAAATGGCCCAAAACTCATAGATGTAAATATCACAGACATTGTGCATGTAGGAACTTGTGTGCTGAAAAGTGTGGTGTTCTATCCATCACAGATTAGGGACCAAAGTAAAGGCAGACATCAGACTGAGCACTCCAGCAGGAAGAAGCCCATGCTGTGAGGTGTACAGCAGTGAGAGGGTTTTCTCAGGAGCTCTGCACCGTGTGTCTCACAGGATATGAAAGGTGTGTGCGTGACCACACGTGGATTAGTCGGCTGCCGGTCCTACACATTCTCACTCCCAAGTCGTCACATATTGACGCTTAAGGTAAGGTTCCCTCTGCGTCTTATTTTGACGCATCAGGTACCCCCCTCGCGTCAGTCCTTGACGCCCGCGGCTTTTCCGGGTTGCGCCACCAGGGGTCTTTGCGTCGGGGGTCTGAGGTTAACATGAGGGATCAGGATTAATGGTTAAGTTTAGGTACTGGGATCAGGGGTAGGATGTCCATGGTGAATATTAGGTCATTTTAGGCTTCAGAACATGTTCACGTGAATTTCGTACATTTTCTAAAAATGGTTAATTTTAGCTACTACGGTCAGGGACAGGATGTCTAAAGTGAACAAAGGTAATTTCAGGCTTTGGAACGGTCGTTTTTGCGCATTTTCTACACTTTCTGAAAATATGACAACAGCTTCCGCCCCATCTCGTCAGTAACTGACGTGACGGGGGTACCCTGCGCGTCAAAATCGGACGTAGAGGGAACCTTGCCAAAGCGTCACTATGTGACGACTTGGGAGTGAGAATGGGTTCGCCGGTCAA